AAATAATAATTTTATGGCCAGATAGTGCATGTTGATATGGTAAATAATCTAGAAGAAGAGGGCCTTTAAATTATCTTTCCTACCTGGGAGTGGCCACTATCCTTTGCGAGAGTCATTTGGGCTGTCTGAAGACAATGTCCCCTAGCCCACTGTGGAGAACAATAAGGCCCTAGAGCTCATGTTCAGCGTGTTCCAGAGTCCATGTGTGCAGGCACCATCCCAAGATGACTTTGTCCCAAAACCCCAGCAAGAGTTCTCCAGATCTTGGAATGGACTCTTCAAATTCAGTAAGAGAAGAATTTGGGACCAAATTTTGTATAAGCTGTTGACCTGACTGTACTGTGTGTCACGTGTGTAACTCTCATTCAGACTATTGAGAGGATGCCCAGATAGTACAGGTTGTTATTTGGACTGATAACTTTCAGATTTGTTTTTCAGAGAAGCAAAAAGCGTGTGGATTGTGTCTATAATAATGTGATCAATTTTTCATTTTTAAATATTTTGTTTTAACAGATATGCTAGCTGTGACACACACAAATAAATGCCCATGGGAGATGATGCCATTAGTACAGTAAGTCTGTCAGTGCATGAAATGTAGGTAAGAGTGGAGGGTATGCAGCAGGTGTCAGTGTGAGTTCCTGTTGGCTGGCTGGGAGTGGCTTGGTCCAGGGCAGATCGAGAGCCAGTTACTTCTAGAAACGTATGTGTAATATGATATATGAAGCATGATATGCATGTGGCACACATACAGAGCAGTTTTAAAGTACCTAAAAGGAAAAACAGTAGGTTCGTGTTCTCAAGAAATCAGTGGAAGGCAGGTCTATTGAATTCAATTTCTGGCAGGAAGCTGGGAAGCATCAGGCTGGTTGAAGGTGGCAGCTAAGCCTGCATGGTGCTTTCCTGTTCCCAAAGCCCGAAGTGCGCACCCAGCTGGTCCCACCAGCGTCCTCTGAGGCAAAGGTCATTCAAAGGTGGGAAAACCAAACATCCAGGCTTGTCACCTCTAAGCTCTTCTTTTACATCTGTGCTTCCTGACCTTGAATAAGGCACAGACGTCCATTCTAAAGATTCAGTACCCCCAGTATTGACATTTTTATTACACGGAAAAGCAAAAAAAAAGTGTAAATTCTTTATTCTTACAGATCTTGGACAACAATAAAACATAAAGTATATGAATTAACTATAAACCAGATGATGCAATCGCTGAAAATTCTAATATACTATGTAACGTGACGGATGGTGGGAGTTTGCTTTGAATTAAGGCACCACCTGAAAGGTGACTGGGCTGATTTGGACACACTGTTGAGTGCTGCCCCCTGGTGGTGAGGTGGGGTCAGAAGGGAGCGTTTAGCTCCTAGGAAGGAAAGCTTCCTACAGATTTTAAAAAATCCACTTAATTGCAGTATAATTTACACACAATCAATTGCATCCACTTAAACTGTACAATTTGATACAGATTGTGGACCGGTGCAATCATTTAAGAAACCGCCACCACATTTTTCTAAATATTTATGTAAATGGAATGATACCGTATATATTCTTTTGCATCTGGCTTTCTTCACTCAGCCGAATGACCGAGAGTCTTCCATGTGGTAGCGTATAACGGTAATTGATTTTTTTAATCACTGAATAATTAGTATTCCATTGTGTGGATATACTACATTTTGTTTTTCCACAAAAAATGTGTTTTTAATATAAATTTTTGTGTTCTCTTAATAGGAAGCATCTAAATGACCTCCTTATCGTTTACAAGTAAGAGCTTGCCCATTGTATTATGAATTATATATTATGGGAGAGCCTGCGCTCAATAGACATATAATATCTGTTTCAAGGAAATAATACCAATAAGGCCTACTTAAGTTAGGGTTTTTAAATGAAAGAAAGGGGACATTAATACCAGGGTATTTCCTTGTTTACAACAGAGTGACACATAGTCCCATAGATGATAGCATTGATTTTATTGAAAATATTGGGACCTAGGAGAATAAAATAGATTTATTCTCAATAAATGCAATTCTTCAATTTGAGAAATACAATTCGTCAATCTGAGAAGTGGTGTTAAACAGTGACACTGCTTTGCACAAATGAGCTGTTTAAGCACTCCGTGTTCACTTTGCTTGATAAATGCACAGGCACCATGGCTAACGATGATCCTTTTCATGTGCCTGTCTAGATCAGGGCAGTCAGGGCTGGGGAGCCCAGCCCTCTGGGGCCTGCAGGATGCCCATAGGCAGACTGAGGCCCTTTCCAGGAAATATGGGGTGACCTCTGCAAAGAGGTCCCAAGGAGTTCCATCAGAAGTTCCAGAATCAAGCATCTCCCCTGCATGCCTCAGGCTCCACTGAAGAGGAGACATTCTCCTCCTACGCCATTAAAAGAAGTCCCAAAATATTTTTTTGTGGCTTTTCATTACAAGAGCACTTGGGCCGGGCACGGGGGCTCATGCTTATAATCCTAGCACTCTGGGAAGCCCAGGCAGGTGGACCTCTTGAGCTGAGGAATTCAAGAACAGCCTGGGTTGGTCTATTGGCTACTAAAAAAAATAAATGGGCATTGTGGCAGGCACCTGTAGTCCCAAATACTCAAAAGGCTGAGGCAGGAGTATCGCTTGAGCCCAAGAGTTTGAGGTTGCTGTGAGTTATGATGCCATAGCACTCTACCTAGGGGGACAGAGTGAGACTCTGTCTCCAAAAATAAATAAATAAATAAATAAATAAATAAATAAATAACATTAAGGTCACTTGAATCATAGAGTTGATGTCACTTCTCAGAAATAGTGGTTTGGTTTTTCTGGCATGAATTAAAAAGAGTCTTCTGTTCTGGTAAGACACTGAATACTGTAACAGGAGTGTGTGAGTATGATTTTACACCATTTATGCCCAGGGGACTTCATATGGACATCCCTTGCTGTTTAACTCCTTAGCATAACTCACCGATGTGCCTGTGCCTGCCACTTTCTCTCATTAGACATCATTCACATTATCCTGGGCAGTGTAACTCTTGGCAAGGGGCCCAGAAGTGCAGCAGACGGTGCACCAGGAGATTGTCAAGAATTGGGGGAAGGGCATATTCCAGCAGCACCAGATGTCCCCAAGACCCACCAGTGAGAACTATCTTTAAAGAAGTCTGAGGTAAAAGGCTCACCAAAATCTGTGTCAACAAATCATGTCCTTTAAGTCTTTGATTCTTTATCATATCAAATCTTCCAACTGCCCTGAGTGCCTGGGTTGTTTAGAAAGAGGATATTCTCCCACCAAACAACAATGATGGCTGCAACCAAAAAATAGCCAGGTGTTGTGGCGGGCACCTGTGGTCCCAGCTACTTGGGAGGCGGAGGCAGGAGACTCGCTTGAGCCCAGGAGTTGGAGGTTGCTGTGAGCTGTGAGGCCACAGCACTCTAGCCAGGGCGACAGCTTGAGGCTCTGTCTCCAAAAAAAAAAAAAAAAAAGAAAGAGGATATTCATAGCTACCCTTACTTCCTTTCTGCTTTTATGAGAACAGCACGAAGGCCATTCTGCTGTTGAAGGGTTCATTGTTTTTCCTAAAGATCTCAGGAGCAGCCATTTAACACTGTCCCTGCTTTAGCCAATTGGTTCATCCAGACTTTACCAGTGTGCTCCTAGGTCAATACCCTTTGACCTTGCTTCTCTGAAGATAACACGGAGCAAGACTGACTAGTCAGGAAAATACTCTGGGCTGATGGGCTCATCCTGTTTACAAAACCCTGTGGTTCTGTGTGAATGGCTTAGTCAGAGTGGGAACCCCACAGGGTGAGGCTAATTGATTCCTGGACAGGGAAGAGCTGGAGGGATATGGACTGTCTTGAGTGGGGGATGGTTTGAGTGGGAGGTGGGATCAGGGGACCCTGTCCTTAAAGAAATGCCCTGACCACAAGCAAAGTGTCGCATATACTGAGAGAATACTTTCCACCTTGACGGACAGAGCTTCAGTTTGTACTGCATCCTCAATCCTCAGTGGGCCGTGCAATCTCAAATTTAAAAAAAATGGAGCTGGCTGTGTAAGTTTTACTCAGTCTTCTTAGGAGTGGCTCTCAGACAGTCCAATAGTTGAAGTATCATGTCTTCAAATGTATTTCATGGGCCCCTAAGTCCTATGAACTATTATTGCTTGATAGAGTGCTTTCATGGTCACATCAAATGTCAAAAATGGAATTTTCCTCCTTGGGAATACAAAGGCATGTGAAAGATTTTACTTTGTGGTGGTGCCTGTGGCTCAAGGAGTAGGGTACCGGCCCCATATAGCAGGGGTGGTGGGTTCAAGCCAAGCCTTGGCCAAAAACTGCAAAAAAAAAAAAAAAAAAGAGAGATTTTACTTTGTGTTTTGAAAACTTTTTGACCTTGGTTCCTTTTCCACATTCTTAACAATACCGGCTGGCACAGCTGCTGTCTAAGGAGCCACAGAGGTCCTTACAAAATGTTTTTGTTGCAACTATACCATGTGTTACTTTTTAAGAATTTTTAGGCCGGGCGTGGTGGCTCATGCCTGTTGTCCCAGTGCTGTGGGAGGCCGAGGCGAGTGGATCACCTGTGCTCAGAGGTTCGAGACCACCTGAAGACTCGCCTGAGGCAGAGTGAGCCAGAGTGAGACTCCGTCTCTACAACAACAACAAGACAGCCGGACCTTGTGATCCCAGCTACATGGAGGGTAAGAGAACACTACAGGAGGAAGAAGTAAAAAAAAAAGCATTTTTAGGCTGGGTGCTATGGCTCACGCTGGTAGTCCTAGCATGAGGTGACCAGATTTTAACATTGGTAAAGCAAGACACCATTGACAGGGTTGGGGGTGGTCATAAGTGTCACTTTCAAGGATGGCACTAGACTTTTTGCCGCCACTATAAAATATAAATAATACAAGTACTGTCTGCTAAATTCATGAAATAAATAAATTACTTACCTAAATTATCTGAATAGCTGATTTGTTGACATCCCTTGTTTCGTCTGAGAGACATTTACAAAATGTTTTCCTCGTTGCCAATGCCCAAAAATGCCTTTGTTCATTAAGTCCAAACAATGGTGGTCGAATTCTAACAATTGATCAACAATGCGAACTTTGATAAGCAATTATTGATAATCAGTTCTCAACAATTATTTGTTGTTATTAAATTTTAACATTATAAAATTAACAAAAATAATATAAAACTCATATCCTGACGAAATAGCCACGTGGCAGCCGAAAACCGTCTATTATGTTTCCTGCCATTCCTTAGCTTGTCGTGCATTCTTTCCAAAAATTGGGACTTCTTTAAAATGCCGTGGGACAAGGGACAAATTATTAAAAATCAGGACTGTCCTGCCAAAAGCAGGATGTCTGGCCACTTTATCCTAGCACTCTGGAGCCGAGGCAGGTGGATCGCCTGAGTTGAGTTTGAAAGCAGCCTGAGCAAGAGCGAGACTGCATTTCTACCAAAATGAAAAACTGGGTGGTGCCTGTGGCTCAGTGAGTAGGGCACCCCTTATACCAAAGGTGGCGGTTTCAAACCCAGCCCTGGCCAAACTGCAACAACAAAAATAAATAAATAAGAAAAACTGAGGCAAGAGGATCGCTTGAACCCAGGAGTCTGAGGTTGCTGTAAGTTATGATGCCATGGCACTCTACCTAGGGCAACAGAATGAGACTGTATCTCAGAAAAAAAAGAAAGAAAAAGTTTTTAGTGGAGGCTCGGCACCCATAGCACAGTGGTTACAGCACCAGCCACATACACCCAGGTTGGTGGGTTCGAACCTGGCCCGGGCCAGCTAAAACAATGACAACTGCAACAAAATAGCCAGGCTTGTGGCTGGCACCTGTGTAGTCCCAGCTACTTGGGAGGCTGAGGCCAGAGAATTGCATAATCCCAAGAGTCTGAGGTTACTGTGAGCTATGACACCATAGCACTCTACCGAGGGTGACATAGTAAGACTGTCTTAAAAAAAAAAAAAGAATTTTTAGTGGAAATGGCAATACTTTCAGATTTCTCAGTGTTTAACAAGATATTCTTAAAGTCACCACCGCATTCCTGTCCCTGTTGTTCCTTTTAGGCTCTTTTCGGTGCTCCCTGGGGAATGGCGAAGTCACTCAGGGGGACCTGGTGAGAGTTTGGTGGCCATGGGGTGGGACCAGTTAAATGTCAAGGAACCTGCCTCCACAGTGAGGAAGTCTTTGTCCCTAAGCGAAGAGTAGCCGGCTCCTTCCCTCACTGTGTACTTTATGATGATGTGATTGGAGGGGGTGGGGCTGAAGAGGGGTGAGAATCACCTGATCTCACTGCTCTGAAACTAAGCACACACTCTGCAGCCGGCAGGCTGGAGAGTGTCTGAGAGCCTGGCTCCCCCTGTCTGCCCTGCATTGTCCCCGGTGTGATGGGAGGGAGGGGCTGCCCAGCCAGCATGTTTGCCCCTGCTCTGTGCCACCCCAGTCTGTGGTGTATAGTCTCTGAAGACCCACCTGGCCCTCTGCCACTGTGCCACGTCCTACGAGGATGAGAGTTTCCCTTGGGCTAAAGATTTCTGGCCAGAGCAGTGGCTGTGGACAGGAAAGCTGGGCAGGGCTGACAACTTTGGGCCCACTCCCTTTGGTTACGGGGTTTGCAGCTGCATTGGGCAGAGAGTCACAGAGTTGGAGACTCACCTCACTATGACCCAGATAGGGTGTGCGGGACAAATGTGGGCATGTGGGTTTGGCCTCTTACTGGGCTCAACTGGATAAGACTTTCACATTAAAAAATAAAAATTGGTTTTGAAAACTTAAAAATCAAGAGCTCTTCACCAAATCCTGTCATATTTGAAAACACTACCCAATGCAAGGCACCTTCACCCACCCACCCCCCGCCCCGGGTGCCTGCCTGCTCTGTCCTCTCTGGGATCTGGGGGCAGCGGAGGAGAGGTCAAGAGGCCTTGAAGATCTTTTTTTTTTTTTTTTTTGAGACAGCGTCTCAAGCTGTCGCCGTGGGTAGAGTGCTGTGGTGTCACAGCTCACAGCAGCCTCAAACTCTTGGGCTTAAGTGATTCTCTTGCCTCAGCCTCCTATGTAGCTGGGACTATAGGTGCCTGCCACAATGCCTGGCTATTTTTTAATTGTAGTTGTCATTGTTGGTTGGCAGGCCCAGGCTAGATTTGAACCTGTCAGCTCTGGTGTACGTGGCTGGTGCCCAGCCATTGAGCTACAGGTGCTGAGCCATGTGCCTGAAGATTTGGAAGTGTATGTGTGTGATATGTATGTGTGATGTGTGGTCCTCCAGGCGCCCAGAGCCCAGCTCTCCTGCCATCACTCAGGGAATTAGAGAGGGGACTGGGAGGGTGTCAGAGGAGCATCCTGAAACACCAGGGCACATAGAAGGCACCGGGGACCTCCTCATGTGCAGATTCCCAGGCAGAGGGATAAGATATGTGGGTCTGAGGTAGGCTTGCACGGCTGCTGACGCAGGTGGTGCATGGGCCATATGCTGAGAAACTCTGACAGTCTAAGAAAGTGGCCATGGGGACTTGGGGTCCCACCTGCACCTCCAGTGGCCATGTATATCATTAGTTGCTGGCCTCTCAGGTATCCGTGACTGCAGGCCACAACGAGGAAGGCATACAAGGCTTCCTTTATTTGAACCAGCCATTTACACAGTCTGGCTTTTTAGTTTGTGAAACATTAAGACGTCCTGGGTTTTGTTAGAGGGTACCTTACATGTTAATCTCTAAATATTAAAATATATGATTTTGTGTTTGTACTGCTCAGGTTAGCCTGTAGCAGGAACTGGTAACAACTGAAGGGAATTTTATACATGAAAAGCCTATAGCAAATTCTGCATTTTAACCTCTTTGGCAAGTTTGTGAAGACTCTGAGCAGTAGTAAACCTTGGCCTGAGTGGAAGCTTCTGTCATTGCCTGAGCACTGAAAGAACATAGAGATTATCTGGTGACCCAATCTCCTAATTTTACTGATGAAGAAACCCAGGCTCAGGAAGTTACAGCACTTGCTAAGTCACAGGTGCAGGAGGGGTGTCTTGATTGGTGGTGTCATTATTTTCCCATATGTCATGCACGTGTCTTCCTCCAGCTCACAGGGAGCTCAGGACATGAGGAGCATAAGGGACCAGGGAGCCTGGCTGGCTGGGAGGTGGGAACAGGGATTCCAGATGGTCAGGCCTGGGGGACAGCACTGGAGAAGGCCAGGGCTATGGCCTGGGGAGGAGGCACAGAGGGAGGTGGAGTGGGCAGAGTGGCCCACTAGCCCAAGGCTGGCTCTTGTAGGGGAGTGCAGGTGGCCCAGCAAGGCTGTGCCGGGATGCGGCTGGTGGGTTCTAGCAGCCACCCACCTACGTGGGGACGTGGCCCTGGGTCCCTCAGAGTGGTAGCTCAATGGGCTGTGGAGGGAGTTCAGGGCTATCTGGCTCTGAGCCCAGCTCTGCTGTTCACTGGGACCTTGGGCAAGTTTCTCAGTCATCCCAGGCCTGTCACCCATAAAAGGAGGCAAATCCCTGCCTCCCAGGTTTGTGAGGAATAAAACCAGTGTAGCTGGGAACCTGTGCCTAGGCCTGCAGCAGGGAGCGCTTTCCATTTTCTGGAAGCCCTCAGCTCCCTAAAATGCTTCCGTGCCTTTGCAGCCACCTGGGGGACAGGTGAGGCATTGTCCCTGAGGGGCAGGGAGTATATCTGAGGGGTTACAAAAGGAGTGTTTTGAGCTGGTATTGACTTTTATTTTTTATTTTTTTGAGACAGAGCCTCAAGCTGTCCCCCTGGGTAGAGTGCTATGGCATCACAGCTCACAGCAA